AGGGAGAGAGAGAGCGCGAGCGCGGGAGAGGGAGCCCGATTAAACTGGAGCCCGGGCGGGCTGGGTCTGGAGTGGGAGGGCAGCGCGGGGCCCGGAGGGGGCGGGAAGAGGCAGGTCCCCGGCCGTCCGCGCAGCCAGATAGCCTCGGCCGCCTGCGCACTTGGCCATTCATCCAGGATTGACAGGAATCCCTAATTAATTTAATTAGGCGTGGATTTTTGCGTCCGTGTCAAGACTTAGTTAAACACCGGGGAGCCGGACCTACTCCGCCGGGGCGTGGCCAAAAGGAAACTGACAAGTGCGCGGCTTCGGGAGTGAGACCCGCATCGCGACTCCGCGCCAGACCCGGCGTCCGGGGCCGCGTCACTGCTCGGCCCCGCACNCCCCGAGTCAGGGTCCTCCGCAGCGCAGGCGGCTTCCCGGCCCCCGGGGCTGAGCCGGGTCTTCCCCAGCCTCCCCGCCCGCGGGAATTCGTGAATCACCCCACGACTTGCGTCCCGGAGCCCAAGCCTGCGACAACCCCGCTCCAAGCAGCTGTTTCCCGACAGATTCCATTTTAAAGTGTTTCCTTAGCTCCTGATCCCGGACAGTTAAGACTTCGTTCTCTCTTTGAGGTTTCAGGACCCTCACCCCACCTCCCTCGTAACTAACTCCCTATATCCGGACCCCTCCCAGAAAGGACCGCAGGAGCTCTTCTTTAGCATCCTAATAAACGTTCTAGTTGATTTCTTGATTTTGAAAAGCAAGCGATTATCCTTCTTTGAGTTTGAAAAAAAAAAAATCAACGTTAAGTTTGTGCCCCTCTTTATCTTATTTATTGTGGACCATTCATTCAAAAAGAGATGCTCGCCGGGAGAAAGGTCTCTCGCTCTCTCCCGGGACAATTTTAACCGAAACAGTTAAGTGGAAGGAATGTCTATATTCCTGAGTCATACGTATTGTGTAGGACAAAGCTTGCTGTGAGAAGTGTGACCACAAATGTATCTAACATAAAAATATTTACATGCGGAAAGTTATATTATTTGAGCGTGTAAACAAATATACCTCTTCAAGTGAATGTTAATAAATGTTAATACAAGCTTTCTGATGTTGAAGGTACACCTGTTCATTTTCTTAATCTAATACTCTTAGTAGAAATAAAAGCAATTACAAAACTTTAATATGTGTATCTTCTACCCATTTGTAAGGCAGCAGCACAAAGTTAACATAATTTGGGAAGTTCCACCAAAGTAACTGAAGCACTGGTAAAAGAGAACACAATTAAAACTTAATGTATTAGTGTTTCTAGGATACATGTAAATAGAGGCTATACATAACTACACCACTCTTTAGAATAAAATGTTCACACTCTGCAAACTTAAGATGGAAATCATACTTTTAAGAAATATTACTTTTCCTTTTTTTCTCTTGAAGTTATCTGCTGAAGCTATCTTTTGTTCCGAAAATATTTCATTTATTACTACTTTTAGGAGAAATAATTAAGATCTTTATGTTTCCAGTGCAATAGCTTTTAGGTATTAATGAATTATACTACTGCTTGCTTTTTTTTTTTTTTTCTTTTTTTGTTACACTGCAAAAGAGATTCAAATATTCACACTTTACAAAGTTATATAAATTTAGGAACATGGTTTTACATTTATTCTTGAGTTACTATTTGTAACCACTTTAATTCTGATATTATCAGAGGGGAATAACCATAAAATTTTAATCCTTTATGAAAATCTGTTTTTAAGGTTATTTAGCAGAATGACCAGAAAGAGCTCTCAAACTGAGGTGTTCAATACTATACACAAGCAGCTCCAAAATAACCATTTTAGAAGTCTGGTCAGGAATCAAGAGACTCACTAACTACTTTTTTTTACCATGACTTCTAAGTGTGATCTTAAATTCCATCCACTGAGCTTGAGGGAAAGATGACCACTTTAAAGGTAATCAGGGAAGGCTCAGACAATCATTGCGATTCTCACCAAATAGATTTTCCTGGCATATTGGCTCTTTGTATAGTTAGGAATAGTGGTGTTGATATCAGATGGGCTTATGAGAGATCTGCAGTGTCTGACCACGGATTCCACTGGCATAAGGAAAATTTAAAAAACCCAACACACTAAAGTTTTGAAATCATATGCTAATAAATGCCCATGAAGTTCTAATGATGTTGTATTAAATAGTAAATGTTTTCCGGAAACAGGATATTTCAAAATACAGTTTTGGTAAAAAAAAAAAAAAAATCGATAGTAAAGTTCAGGTGACAGCCTGCAGACAGATATACAAGTTCCAGTAAAATTCAGGACCCCAAGGGTACCCCCAGCTCTTGAATTATTTAAAATAAACATGTAGTGTTGTAGTTAAGTTTTAAAACGGTCCCTCAAAACTGGTTATTTAAGATACAGTCATTTATGACAAATATATTTCTAGAGCTGATTTTCACCATCTCAAATACCTGCAGAAAACTGTAGCTGTGGGTACCTAGCGGTTCTGAAAGAGTTGGTTCTCACAATCGACCCAAACCAAGGCCAACAGTTTACCTCCGCATCTTCGCGTACTTAAGTAAACAAGGAAAAATGATGTTTATGCAAGGACAGATAAATACTGTCGTGTGAGTAACAGAAAATGCTGAATCGCTTTAATTTCTATCGGTGTACATAACAACAAACACCTAAGCAATTTCTCTTTCAGAAGAAACCGCCTTTCCCTGCCTCGGGCAGCCTTCTTCCAATTCTCTACCAACCGGTTACTTTAAAGTGAGAAACTAATTTGCACCCAACCTGTGAGCGCCTTCACCTTCAGGGTAGAAGAAACACCGACTTTTAATGCATTTTTTGCAAATAAATCATTACATTTTAATCACACACGACTCTATACGGACACACTCCCGTGATTTATTATTGTTGGGCAAGTTTCCTCCTCCCCCGGCTCGAGATAACCAATTTTGCCTCCTGTGCGTGTCTTCAGCATAACTTCCCCCGATGCAGATCTGTTTACTGATTATCTGTGACGATAACGACGATTACTAAGGCAATAACACTCTTCAGTCCCCACCTTTATTGCCTTTTGGTTACAAGGAAATCAAATACTCAAACAAGCAGAACCAACACCAAACAAAACATTGGCGGCGTGACGATCGATTCCCTCGGCACTCCTAACGCCTGGTAGCCCCATCGATGTGCTCGAAAGCTCGGCTGGCGCTGCCTGGCGCTGGAACCAGGAAGGCGGTGAGCTTAAACTGAGGCAAGTGCGGAGGACGCCGGCGGCACCCCGGTCTGAAGAGACGTCCCCAGGTTTGCGGCGCTTGCAGGTCCACGGGAGGCGTGATCCCGAAGGCTGGGAGCCAGGTGATGCCCTGTTCCCGGGCCCGGGAGGAGGCTCCCACGCCTGCGGGGTTCGGAGGCCCTGCTCCGGCGTGAGGCCGCGTGAGGCGGCGCGGGGCCTGCCGCAGACTGTCCGGGAGGCTGCGGGGTGTGGGCGACCGTCCGGAGGCGCGCCGAGCGGCGCAGTGCGCATGCGTCTCGCACCTGGCGGTTCCCGACCTCGCTGGTTGGAGTGGGGGCCGTAGGTGCTTGTCCGCTATGGGGTGGCGCGAGGTCGCAGGCCTCTCGCTAGGCCCTCAGTCTGGAGGTGGTGAGAGAGAATTAGGCCACTTTTCCTCCCCTTCCTCGCTCAT